GAAAAGAATTTAAAAAAAATTCCAATACAGAAATAATTTTTATAGAAAATTTTTAATATTAAAACAAATTTTTATAGAAAATTTTTAATATTGAAAAAAATTTTATATAAAATCTTCAATATTTAACCATTTTTTTTAGAAAATTATTATTATATTGGAAACATTTTTTATAGAATAATTTCAATATTGAACAATTTTAATAGAACATTTTTTTAGACAATTTTCAATATTGAAAAAATTTTTATGGAAAATTTTCAATATTCAAATAATTTTTTTTCAATATTGAATAAATTTTTATAGAAAATTTTTATTATTGAAAAAAAATTTTGAGAGAAAATTTTCAATATTGAACAAATTTAAAAAAAAATGTTCATTATTGAAAAATTTTCAATATTGAAAAAATTTTTATTGAAAATTTTCAATATTGAAATAATTTTTTTTTCAATATTGAATAAATTTTTATAGAAAATGTTTATTATTGAAAAAATGTTTGAGAGAAAATTTTAAATATTGAACAAATTTAAAAAAAAAATGTTCATTATTGAGCAAATTTTTATAGAAAATGTTCATTATTGAACAATTTTTATAAAAAATATTCAATATCGAACAATTTTTATAGAAAACCTTCAATATTTAACAATTTTTTTAGAACATTTTTAATATTAATATTTCAAAAGAAATTTTTAATAATGAACAATATTTTTTTTAACATTTTAAATTTTGAACAAAATTTTATAGAATTTTTTCAATATTGAAGAGCCTTTAATCAATATTGAACAATTTTTTAAAGAAAATCTTCAATATTGAACATATTTTTAAAGAAAATCTTTAATATTGAATAACTTTTTAGTAGAAAGTTTTCAATACTGAAAAATATTTTTGAAGAAAATTTTAAATTTTTAAAATTCAATAGAAAATTTCAATATTGTACACATGTTTATAGAAAATTTTCAATATTGAACAACATTTCAGATTTTTTATTTAGGAATTTTACAAAGTTAAAAGTTTTTAATATTGAAAAAAAGTTATAGAAAATTTAAAATTTTTGAAAAAATTTTATAGAAAATTTGAAATTTCGGAAAAATATTACAGAGAATTTTTAATATTAAACAATATGTTTATAAAAAAAATTGAAATATTGTACAATTTTTATTAGAAAATTTAACAAATTTTAAAATTTTTACTATAAAATTTAATTTTATTGAAAACATTCTTTGCCATTACTGACCTTTCTTAAACAATTATAAGTTTATTGATATTTTTATAATTCCCAGAAGACCATGGTGATTTTCTTCTACATAAATATTTGTTTTTAAACATATTGGTTAGCAAATAAATGGAAAATAAAGCAAAAATCGAAAAAGAACAAATAAATAACCTAAATGAAGGTTAGGTTTGAATAACATGTTTTTTTTTTATTTTATTTCAAAATTTGCTAATTGAAAATTAACATGAACCCTCATAAATTAAAACTAAAACAAGACTAAAATGAGTCAGTTATAAATAACATTAAATTTTGTAATTAAAAATGACATGTTATACAAAAATTCTGTTAAAAATAATGGGTAAATTAATTCCTTGAAACTAAATTCTAAAAATTTAGGTCATTAACTTGTTTTCTATATAAATAATATTCAACTTCTTAATTAAAGTGTATATATTTTTTTAAATACTTACAATAAAATTACAATACAAAAAACATTACAATTTGTTTTCATAATTATTGTTAAATACTTTATTAATGTCAATGCCACAGTATATTATTTTTGTTTTTAAACAGCAAAAAAAAAAAATGTCATTCCAATATTTTTTGTTCTGTTAAATTGTTTTCAAAATTAATTTTCATTCATTCAACCGCTGCCAGTAATGTCAACTTTGTTTTGTAATATTTTGCATTAATCTCATATGTGGGATCTAAAAATTTTGTTTCTTCTTCATTTTTTTGTAAAAATCTCCTCCTCTCATATATCATGTATTTTTCTATTGTATAATAGTTGTTAATTTATGCGTAAATAATTGTGAATCGTTATGTATAAACCAACGAAAAAAATATTAATTCCACGTAACTTTTATGAATTCATTGGATTTAATAAAAATAACAACAGAAAATTATAAAAAAAAAATCACAACAAAAAATTTCACATTGTTTATTTTTAACAAAAACACGTTTTTTTCTTTCTTTTGTTATTATTGTTGTATTTTTCTTCTTACTATAAAAAATTTATAATTAATTTAAATGAGCAACGAGGGTTTAGCATAAAGTTTTAGGATTTTTTATGATTTCATGTTTACAGCATCTCTTGGTAATATTGGCATCATTGTCAAACATTTGCATGTCTATGACATTCACTATAGGATGATATCCAGTTTGTATTAGCACTAAAATATTGATAAAATTACCAAAAAAACTTTGTTAATATTTCTTAAGTAATTTTTAATCCAAAAATGCTTGCCCTAAAGAAAACTTTTCAAACCCTCTACGTATATTTATAGACGAGCACATTCTCTCTAGCGAGCGACGCCATAGTAAAGTGCCGCTACTATACATACAACACACTTACCATCTTTTAATAATGAATCATTTTATTTTAGTTGTTTTTTTTTTGTCGTTGCTATTTGACTTTTAATTCATAATTTCCATTATTTATTCATTCATAAAAAAATAACAGAAAAAATGTTGACAAACTCTATTTAGCCATTGACGGCAATGATTTTGTTTAAATAGTTGTTTTTACTATTTATTTTTCATATTAAATGGGGTTTATAACTGTTATTTAAATTATTTGTTGTTATTTTTTATACATATTATTGTTATAAAGCACATAAATTATTTTTATTGTAGTTTTCTTTAAAAATTTTATTTATAAAAACAACAATTTCACTTTCTTTGGCAATACAAATTAACACATTTTTAGGCAGTTAGTCTTAAACTGTTTTGAAATTAGGCAGATTTCAAATTTTTTTAAAAAGTAATTTATTTTAGAAAATTTTTGATTTCAAAATTGAATAATTTTTTATAGAAAATTTAAATTCTAGTTCAATTTTGGTTCAGTTTTAGTTCAGTGCTAGTTCAGTTTTAGTTCAGTTTTAGTTCAGTTCTAGTTCAGTTCTAGTTCAGTTCTAGTTCAGTTCTAGTTCAGTTCTAGTTCAGTTCTAGTTCAGTTCTAGTTCAGTTCTAGTTCAGTTCTAGTTCAGTTCTAGTTCAGTTCTAGTTCAGTTCTAGTTCAGTTCTAGTTCAGTTCTAGTTCAGTTCTAGTTCAGTTCTAGTTCAGTTCTAGTTCAGTTCTAGTTCAGTTCTAGTTCAGTTCTAGTTCAGTTCTAGTTCAGTTCTAGTTCAGTTTTAGTTCAAGTTCAGTTCTAGTTCAGTTCTAGTTCAGTTCTAGTTCAGTTCTAGTTCAGTTCTAGTTCAGTTCTAGTTCAGTTCTAGTTCAGTTCTAGTTCAGTTCTAGTTCAGTTCTAGTTTCAGTTCTAGTTCAGTTTTAGTTCAGTTTTAGTTCAAGTTCAGTTCTAGTTCAGTTCTAGTTCAGTTCTAGTTCAGTTCTAGTTCAGTTCTAGTTCAGTTCTAGTTCAGTTCTAGTTCTAGTTCAGTTCTAGTTCTAGTTCAGTTCTAGTTCAGTTCTAGTTCAGTTCTAGTACAATTCTAGTTCGTTCTAGTTCAGTTCTAGTTCAGTTCTAGTTCAGTTCTAGTGCAGTTCTAGTTCAGTTCTAGTTCAGTTTTAGTTCAGTTTTAGTTCAGTTCTAGTTCAGTTCTAGTTCAGTTCTAGTTCAGTTCTAGTTCAGTTCTAGTTCAGTTCTAGTTCAGTTCTAGTTCAGTTCTAGTTCAGTTCTAGTTCAGTTCTAGTTCAGTTCTAGTTCAGTTCTAGTTCAGTTCTAGTTCAGTTCTAGTTCAGTTCTAGTTCAGTTCTAGTTCAGTTCTAGTTCAGTTCTAGTTCAGTTCTAGTTCAGTTCTAGTTCAGTTCTAATTCAGTTCTAGTTCAGTTCTAGTTCAGTTCTAGTTCAGTTCTAGTTCAGTTCAGTTCTAGTTCAGTTCTAGTTCAGTTCTAGTTCAGTTCTAGTTCAGTTCTAGTTCAGTTCTAGTTCAGTTCTAATTCGGTTCTAGTACAATTCTAGTTCTTGTTCATAAAAAGAAAATTTAGTATATATATTTTTTTAATACATAAATTTTTATAGAAATTAGTTTTTATATGAATTTTTAACATAATCTAACACTGTTTGGGAACTTGTGCTTATAAAGCCAACAAATTCAATGCCCACATGAATATGCATCTTGAATTGTGTAAGATCTTCATGTTGTTGTTGGCAACAAACATTTTTGGAACTTCATACACTCCATCAAAATGGCGAGTGCGACGGGGTCGATCTTAATAGGTTTGTTTACATGTTAATGGCGGCTTTTCTTTCTTTATTATTAATTTTAAAAAGTTGTTAACAAAAAAGTTACTGTTACATGAAGTGCGAATGTGAGCAGCTGACAGACAGCCACTTGTTGTTTGAAAACAAACATTTATTTTATTTCAGACAATAAAACACTGTTTTATTATTTTCAGTATATTTTAAATGAAAGTGTTAATTGTTATTATTTTTTGTTTTTGTTTGTTTATTGCGTACTGCTTATTGTTTTGAAGTTTGCTTTGTAATTTTTAAATTATTTAGCCAAATTAGTAGTCATTTCAAGTGTGTTATTATTTATTTTTATTTCTAAACATTTTATTTAAAAGGGTATAACAAAGACTGAGTGATTCATTAATTTCTTATTAAATTAATGTAAAATCCAATCAAATAAAAAGATCTTTTAGACATGATTCATTCAACTAACAACAAAATGATAAGAAATCTAAGATGTTTTTAAAAAAGCACGCAACCCCTAAAGGCCTTGTTTAATATTACGAATTTTTAATATAAATTATGTTTGCGATTTATCTTAATACTATTCATTGTTAAAAGAAATACTTAATTTCAAAATTATTTATGTATGTTTTTTTATATTTTTACTTTTACAGATTATTACAATCACTGCCGAAATATACACAACATTTATTAGTTTTATTATTTGGTACATTCCGTGTGATTGCTAGCAATGCAGCCCATGCTGGTACCGGCATGACCAGTGAAGCTTTGGGTGTTTCCGTTGCACCCAGCTTCTTTCAATCATGTGTTAGTGATGGCAAAACAGCACGCATGGAAGATGTGCTTAAGTTTAAGGTAAATAACCTTAAAAAATAATTTAAATATGTTTCTCTTTTAAAACAAATTTCTTTTTGTTTAAATGTATTGTTAATCTAATGTTTCTTATTTTGTTTTTAGGTGGCTACAAAAATTATGAAACATATTATTGATAAATTTGCTACACACGATTTGTTTGGTCGTGAAAATTATGAATATTATGCAAGGGTTACCGGACGTATATTAAAAGTACAAGATGAATGGATATGCAGTTTTCAATATCCACCACCGCCCCGTGGAAAACAGGCTCAACAAAAATATGCATGTAAGTTTGTTGTTTTATCAAAAACACTGATTTTGAATATGAACAGAAACTGAAATAGAACTGAACTGAACCTGAAATAGAACTGAACTAGAACTGAACTAGATCTGAACTAGATCTGAACTAGATCTGAACTAGATCTGAACTAGATCTGAACTAGATTTGAACTAGAAATGAACTAGAAATGAACTAGAACTGAACTAGAGCTGAACTAGAACTGAACTAGAACTGAACTAGAACTGAACTAGAACTGAACTAGAACTGAACTAGAACTGAACTAGAACTGAACTAGAACTGAACTAGAACTGAACTAGAACTGAACTAGAACTGAACTAGAACTGAACTAGAACTGAACTAGAACTGAACTAGAACTGAACTAGAACTGAACTAGAACTGAACTAGAACTGAACTAGAACTGAACTAGAACTGAACTAGAACTGAACTAGAACTGAACTAGAACTGAACTAGAACTGAACTAGAACTGAACTAGAACTGAACTAGAACTGAACTAGAACTGAACTAGAACTGAAGTAGAACTGAACTAGAACTGAACTAGAACTGAACTAGAACTGAACTAGAACTGAACTAGAACTGAACTAGAACTGAACTAGAACTGAACTAGAACTGAACTAGAACTGAACTAGAACTGAACTAGAACTGAACTAGAACTGAACTAGAACAGAACTGAACTAGAACTGAACTAGAAACTGAACTAGAACTGAACTAGAACTGAACTAGAACTGAACTAGAACTGAACTAGAAACTGAAACTAGAACTGAACTAGAACTGAACTAGAACTGAACTAGAACTGAACTAGAACTGAACTAGAACTGAACTGAACTAGAACTGAACTAGAACTGAACTAGAACTGAACTAGAACTGAACTAGAACTGAACTAGAACTGAACTAGAACTGAACTAGAACTGAACTAGAACTGAACTAGAACTGAACTAGAACTGAACTAGAACTGAACTAGAACTGAACTAGAACTGAACTAGAACTGAACTAGAACTGAACTAGAACTGAACTAGAACTGAACTAGAACTGAACTAGAACTGAACTAGAACTGAACTAGAACTGAACTAGAACTGAACTAGAACTGAACTAGAACTGAACTAGAACTGAACTAGAAACTAGAACTGAACTAGAACTGAACTAGAACTGAACTAGAACTGAACTAGAACTGAACTAGAACTGAACTAGAACTAGAACTGAACTAGAACTGAACTAGAACTGAACTAGAACTGAACTAGAACTGAACTAGAACTGAACTAGAACTGAACTAGAACTGAACTAGAACTGAACTAGAACTGAACTAGAACTGAACTAGAACTGAACTAGAACTGAACTAGAACTGAACTAGAACTGAACTAGAACTGAACTAGAACTGAACTAGAACTGAACTAGAACTGAACTAGAACTGAACTAGAACTGAACTAGAACTGAACTAGAACTGAACTAGAACTGAACTAGAACTGAACTAGAACTGAACTAGAACTGAACTAGAACTGAACTAGAACAGAACTAGAACTGTACTAGAACTGAACTAGAACTGAAATAGAACTGAACTAGAACTGAACTAGAACTGAACTAGAACTGAACTAGAACTGAACTAGACTGAACTAGAAACTGAACTAGAACTGAACTAGAACTGAACTAGAACTGTAACTAGAACTGAACTAGAACTGAACTAGAACTGAACTAGAACTGAACTAGAACTGAACTAGAACTGACTAGAACTGAACTAGAACTGAACTAGAACTGAACTAGAACTGAACTAGAACTGAACTAGAACTGAACTAGAACTGAACTAGAACTGAACTAGAACTGAACTAGAACTGAACTAAACTGAACTAGAACTGAACTAGAATTGAACTAGAACTGAACTAGTAGTGAACTAGAACTGAACTAGAACTTAACTAGAACTAAACTAAATCGTACTAAAACTTATCTTAATTAGCAATAGAAAACTATTTTTTTCTTAAAACCTAAAGAAATAGTGAAGAGTAGTGAAATTAATTATTCTGCCTTTTAATTCTTACCAGCCCCCAGCTACAAAAAAATCTTCAATTTTATGCCTCCCATTAATTTCACATTTTCATTTACGAATAGTGAGATAAAATGCGCAATATTTTCTTGCAGTCTTCAGCCCTAATAAAAAAATCCTTAATCAATTTCATTATTATTTTCTTTTTAATTTTTAATATAGTACAACATTCATTGGAAGCGGAAAAAACATGGTTGCAATGTCAATGCGAACGTTGGGGTCTACGTGAGTATTTTTTTCTTATTATTATGGTTTCATTTTTTTTCTTTCATACATTTGTGTTTTCTCACTTCGTTTTTTTTTTTTGTATCACAATGAAATTATCTCTTTATTTTCCAACTTGTGGATATTGTGGTTTATTTATATAAGAATTAAAATTATTAAAACCAACTCACTCACAAGATGATAATTGGTATAAATTTAAATGATATGAAATTGTGACTAATTAAAAAATTTCATCTCTAGCTGGCTTCAAGCTTTCTCATTGTGTTATTTTTTTTTTTCTATTAAACTAAACTAAACATTTTTTCTGTAATTTTCTCTCACATCATCTTTAATAACAAACTGTTTGTCTGTTTAACTAACTTTAACTATTATTATTAATCATTAAATTATAACATTTCATATACATTAAAAATCTGAAACGAAAATAGTTGAAATTGGGGTTTTGATTTAAAGCAATTGGAATGTTAAAGGGGGGTATGTTAAACGAAATTTATTATGTTAAAGTTTCTTTATCGATTTTTTCTCTCTCTTTTTTATATAATTAATAGTTAATATTTTGTTAATTCTTACTATTTTTATACTTTTTTATATAAAACTTAGCCCAGAAATTTTGTTTTAAACTTAATTTGCATAAAAAATATTTCTCTCTCTCTTCTTTTCTTCTAAAACAAAAAAAAAAAAACTATTGATAAAACCCCTAAAAAAATCTTTGTTGTAATGCTGTTGTAAATTTATTTAAATTGAAATATACAAAAACAATTAAACGGCACCGCATGTTTATCTAACCAAAAACAATAAAAACAAACAAAACAAAACAACCAACCAACAGTTGCTCAAGAAGAATCACGCTCTACTCCTGCCTTGCTAACAAGTTCGAGCTCTGCTTTGGATAATAGTGTTGTATCATTGGGTGTAACACCCGAACATTCATTTATGGAATCATGTGCTCGACTCTCTGTTTCTTTAGAGGGTCCTGGTCTATTTGCTATGACTTCATCACCTTTGCCGGCACGCAAACCGGGCAGTGGCGTGCATAACGAAGACGATGATGATGATATCGATGAAGATGACTATCACAACGATGACGATGATGACGACCATGAAGGCGATGACGATGAAGAAGACAACGATAACAATCATTTCAATCAACACTTTAGACAACAGCAGCAACAACAACATCATCACTTCACCCAACAGCCATTAGCAAACGCCGACGATGATGATGAAGAGTTTGCCAATGAATTAGATATTTCCAATGGTGGCAGTGGTGGTGCTAATGAAAATATAGAAAATCTTTCATACAAAGCAAATTTTCGTACTTGCCAATCCTACTCATCTGCGGCAGCAACCAGTAAATCAAAAACTCGTTCAGCTGAACAAACGCCAGACAACACATTTACCGATAGCCAGGAAGATGTGGACGATGAAATGACCAATGTGGTGAAAAGACGTTATAAACAAAACAAAAAGAAATCCGCCATAAACAATACGGCACAGATAAGAGTTCAACAGCAGCAACAAAGACGTTTTAGAACGTCCACAACAACAGCAGCGGCAACAACAACAACAAATACAACAGTATCCCTTAATAAGAGTTTCGAAACAAAAAATTGTGATTTTATAACGAACGATTACGAATATATAGCAAAACCTAAAATTAACACAACAACAACAACAAACACAGCATCTAGCTTAACATTAAAAGCTTTAGCCGTGGATGCTGCCACTGTACAACAATCCAAGAGTCGGGTATGTAGTCGCTGTAAAAGAGGCATACGACATTCGTCTTCATGTTCCTCATCTACGGCTTCTGGTGGTGGTGCTGGTGGTGCCAATGGCAGTGGCATGACTATGGAAGAATTAAGAGCTGTTAATCGTTATGCTGAAAGTACTAAAAGTCTATCCTACTTGCCACAGGTGAGGGATGAATACTTGCTTGCTTCAAGGATTTCGGTATAAATTCCTTTTTTTCATTTGTTTTTTTTTTTATTATTATTTCTTTTCCTAGTTAGTTGTTAGTTATTATAGAATTTATTTATTGTTTTTTTCTAAAAATTCTTTAACTCTTTAAAAAAAAAACCAAACAAATGTGAGAGCTTTAGTTGAAAAACAAGCTTAGTATTTTAGCTATGCCCGCCCAGTTTGTGAGCATGTTTTTTTCTATTATACTCTAAACTTTAACTAGTTGCAGTTTTAAGCATGTAATAATCTCTGAAAAAAAGCTCTCACCTTATTAATTTAAAAAAGTATAGTTTGATTTGATTTTTTTTATAATATTTTTTATTTTTTATATAATTTCTTAAACAAATAAAATTAAAAATCTAACCTGTACACACTTAACATTAAAACGAAAAAAAGAACAAAAACAAAACGTACAAATATTTTTATACTACCTAAACAGACACCAACCTAATAAAACGAATATTTTCCCCCCTATTAAAGCCTTTACTATATGGAAGGATAAAAAAACCCCTAAACACTCCAATAATCATAACAATCGATACACAAACATACAAACAACATTTACACACACATATATTATTTAATCATTTGGGCATAACACGGAAATTAATTCCAGATGAAAGAAGAGAACCCAAGACAAATCTGTATAAGGGTGAATTGAGGTAAATTCGGTTGCAAATATTTATGAATTTGCACAACATTTGCTTTAATACGCCCTTGTCTATGAAAATGCTTAAAATTTATTAACTTTTTTTTTTAAATATTTCCAATATAAGGATGATTTGAGTAAATTTAAGACAAGTTCCTTATATTTGAATTAACGAATTCGCCTTGAATTTGTTTCAATTCCCCCTAAAGATCTCGGTATATATATTCAGCTTATGTTTAAGAAAAATCCTATAGTTTCTAAAGGAATGATTCAATTTTGATAAAATTTCTCTTGTATGAAGATTTTATAGATTTTATAAAAACAACATTTAAGAAGTTGTTTTCATAAATCCACAGCTGTAGGGGTCATTAGGTCAGAAATTGGGAAGTTTCGTTTATATGAAGATTGATTTTTTTGTTTATTTTTTACAAATTTTTACTATTTATGAAGCCTAAACGTTCAGACCTTTTAAAAATTATATAAATATACAGCTGGAGAAGACTGTTACATAAATCCACAGCTGGTGGGGGGTTAAAAGGATCTAAATCGAGAAGGTCATTGAAAATCATACCAATTTTGTGTTTTTGATAAAGTTTTAGAAAAAATTATTATTAATTGACTCTATCAGTTTAAAGTCTTAAAAAATCTGTATAAAAATATAGATGTAGGAGTGGATATCATGAATCTATAGCTGGTGGGGTCAGTAGGTCCCAAATTAAGACCTCTGAGTCATATTAACTTTTAAAATGATGGCAAGTTTGTGTTTTTGATCCCATCTCAAAAAAAGTTTATTTTTATGGAAAAGATTCTAAAAAAAATGAATAAAATTATAGGTCGATTCCTCTGATTTCATTAATCCGCAGCTGATGGGACGAGAAATTTCTAAATTGCGACGTTTCGGATTAATAAAAATAGAAAACAATTCAAACTTCATGTCTTTGAAACGATTTCAAATCTACCACTTCAAATCAGAATGAAAACACTAGGTATTCTACTTAGAGATCTCCTGATTCGTCTCCTATGTCGAGCATAATCGGAAGACCTTCATAAAAAGCTATTCGTCCGTGAAAACGAATAGTTTTCACGTTTTCATGTTTACTAGTTTAAATCAGTAAAGGGCAAGATGCCCTTTTTTGGGGGTCTTCGAATATCGCACATATAAACTTTAAAAACTTTCCAATTTAGTCTTTTTTGAACCGATTTTCTAGCAAAAAGTAACATGTTCACGAGGTGACCTACTTTTAGGGTCTTCTGATACATTTGCCCTATTTTGTGGTCTTCTGATACATGATTTGTACCCATTGCAAATCTCTAATAAAAAGTAACATATTCACGAGGTGCCTTAGTTTGGGGTCTTCTGATACATTTCCCTTAAGAATCCTAACAACCCAATTCAAAATTTTAAACTCTTCTTTAACTTCTCTTCTCTTTAAGTTTTCTGTAAAGTTTAAATTTAAAATTATATTCATATGTATTTTTTTTTTTTTTTTTTTGAAATCATTCATTTTATCAGTTATTATCACTTTTTTTTTAGCTGGAATTAATTTCTAGTTTTATGCCTTATAATCATCTTTAAACTGTATATTTTTTATTGTTTTGTTAAAGCACTTTATATATATTTTTTGTTTAATTATTTTAATTTTTCCCCAATTTTTTTCTTGTTGTACAGCAATTCTTTTATGGCAAATTCAATGTTACAGTTTTAATGTCATTTTGAAAATTGTCTCTATTTTTTTTTTTTTTTGCTTAATTTTTTGTTGTTGTATACTTTAAATTTTAATAATAATAAAAAATATAATTTTAAAAATTTTGTTATATTTTTTAAGTTGTTGTTAGTTTGTTTCCTTTTTTTTAAATATAAACAAAACAAAACTGAATATAAAACAATTCTAGGTTCTGGTTTTATTATTAATCAAATTTGTTTAATATATAAACTATACTATTAAATAGTATTTAAACTAAAACAAACGCCAGAACTTAATAGAATTTGAATTTATTTATTTACTTGTATTATTTTAATCACTAATATTATTTGCCTATTTAAAGTAAATGATAATTAGTAACGAAAACAAAATTTAATTTTTTTTTAATAAAAAAAAAAAAATTTTAATACTAAAAACTTGTACATAAAATAAATACATATTTTTTTATATAAATTCCTAAAGATCTTAAAGATCTACCTTAATTTTACTAACTTTAGCTTTAAAATTGACATTTTATTTAATTTTTTTTTGTAATATGATTTTTTTATTTTAAAAATTAAATAAAAATTTTCCTTTTTTTAATTTAAATTCAACCCAACAACCTGTTTTAATTGGTTTTTTTAAGTTTGTTTTTTAAATTTGTTGAAACTTTTTTATTTTTAATTTGTTTTAATTTCCAGCACTTTTATTATTTTTTATTTTTTTCAAGCATTTTTTTATAATTTTTAACCTATTAATCAGTTAATTGCCTTTAAATATAAATATATTGGAGTGTCTTTTTTGAAAATATGAAAATTTATCAAAAACTGTCTTGCTGTTTTGTTAACAATTCCTTTTGCCGGTTTGTTTTGTATTGAGATGGCCTGATGTGTTTGTTGTTAATGCTGTTAAAAAGTTTTTTTTTTAATCCCCACCATATGTTTGTTGTTTCTTTTTTTGTTTATTTCCAAAATTTTGTAACTATTTATGTCTGTCTAGTTTAGTTTAGTAAACATTTTTAAATTTCATACATATTTATTTTTTATTTTGTAGTTTTTTTGTAGAGTTTGTATATTTTTTAATAATTTTTAGTTTCTTTGTTTTTTTTTTTTACTTTTCTATTTCTAAATTTCACTACACCACCACTTTTCATAATAATAAACAGACACTTAATCATTTTTGTGGTTTGCTTTTGAATGTGTCATCCCGCTGCAGCTTTGTTTTTAATTTTTTTTTATATAATTTAATATTTTTTTCTGTATACACATTAAATATAATAATAAAAATAACTTATTAAGAAGAAATACATATGTTTTCTTTGAAAAGCGTTTGTCTATTATTAAGCAAAAACTACTTGGAAACTGTTTTAATATTTAGTTTCTTATAATTGAGAAGAAACAGTTTTGTGTTGTAATTGGCAATGACTTGTTATTGTTGACATAACTATAATACTTCTGTCTAGATTCAGTCTTGTCAATAGTTTGGATTAAACTCTATTCTATAGTCAAGATCCAGTCTTGTTAATAAAGTCTGAACTATAGTTTGGTGTATAGTCTAGTCTATAGTCTAGTCTATAGTCTAGTCTATAGTCTAGTCTATAGTCTAGTCTATAGTCTAGTCTATAGTCTAGTCTATAGTCTAGTCTATAGTCTAGTCTAGTCTATAGTCTAGTCTATAGTCTAGTCTATAGTCTAGTCTATAGTCTAGTCTATAGTCTAGTCTATAGTCTAGTCTATAGTCTAGTCTATAGTCTAGTCTATAGTCTAGTCTATAGTCTAGTCTATAGTCTAGTCTATAGTCTAGTCTATAGTCTAGTCTATAGTCTAGTCTATAGTCTAGTCTATAGTCTAGTCTATAGTCAAGTCTATAGTCTAGTCTATAGTCTAGTCTATAGTCTAGTCTATAGTCTAGTCTATAGTCTAGTCTATAGTCTAGTCTATAGTCTAGTCTATAGTCTAGTCTATAGTCTAGTCTATAGTCTAATCTATAGTCTAGTCTATAGTCTAGTCTATAGTCTAGTCTATAGTCTAGTCTAGTCTATAGTCTATAGTCTATAGTCTAGTCCTAATCTATAGTCTAGTCTAGTCTAGTCTAGTCTAGTCTATAGTCTAGTCTATAGTCTATAGTCTAGTCTAGTCCATAGTCTAGTCTATAGTCAATCTATAGTCTAGTCTATAGTCTAGTCTATAGTCTAGTCTATAGTCTAGTCTATAGTCTAGTCTATAGTCTAGTCTATAGTCTAGTCTATAGTCTAGTCTATAGTCTAGTCTATAGTCTAGTCTATAGTCTAGTCTATAGTCTAGTCTATAGTCTAGTCTACAGTCTAGTCTATAGTCTAGTCTATAGTCTAGTCTATAGGCTAGTCTATAGTCTAGTCTATAGTCTAGTCTATAGTCTAGTCTATAGTCTAGTCTATAGTCTAGTCTATAGTCTAGTCTATAGTCTAGTCTATAGTCTAGTCTAGTCTATAGTCTAGTCTAGTCTATAGTCTAGTCTAGTCTATAGTCTAGTCTATAGTCTAGTCTATAGTCTAGTCTATAGTCTAGTCTATAGTCTAGTCTATAGTCTAGTCTATAGTCTAGTCTATAGTCTAGTCTATAGTCTAGTCTATAGTCTAGTCTATAGTCTAGTCTATAGTCTAGTCTATAGTCTAGTCTATAGTCTAGTCTATAGTCTAGTCTATAGTCTAGTCTATAGTCTAGTCTATAGTCTAGTCTATAGTCTAGTCTATAGTCTAGTCTATAGTCTAGTCTATAGTCTAGTCTATAGTCTAGTCTATAGTCTAGTCTATAGTCTAGTCTATAGTCTAGTCTATAGTCTAGTCTATAGTCTTGTCTATAGTCTAGTCTATAGTCTAGTCTATAGTCTAGTCTATAGTCTAGTCTATTGTCTAGTCTATAGTCTAGTCTATATTCTAGTCTATAGTCTAGTCTATATTCTAGTCTATAGTCTAGTCTATAATCTAGTCTATAGTCTTGTCTATAGTCTTGTCTATAGTCTAGTCTATAGTCTAGTCTAGTCTTGTTTGCACCCTTTACTATAGTTATTTTGTTATACTAAAGTAGTTTTTGTTCTATATAGTCAACGCTTTGAAAACAACTTGTGTTTCCCTCTACTCTCTCTTTCTCTTTAGACTTCTAACTATTCTTTGTAAATCTCTCTTAAATGCTTAATGTTTAGTTTAATTGTTTCCTGTTTCCTTTCACACACATTTTCCTACCCCCTCTAATCAAATATATTTTTAACCAACAAAAATTAATGTAAAGCAATCCTTTTTACTAAGTTATTTATGTTTCTTTTTTTATTTTTTGTTTTTGGCATTGAAAAAACTCCCCGTTTATAAAATAATATTAAAAAATAAACAAAATATTTCTCTTAAAATATAAAACAACAACAACCAAACAAAAACCACAACAACATGCTAAATGATAATGGATTTATTGCAAAACAAAATCAAAATAAAAAACACACTCCTGATGGGCGCTTGACAAAACCAAACAAACAAACAAACCTTTAACTAATTAAACATTTCTCTACACTGAATTTCAACTAATGATAATGATGCGCTCAGGTCCATGAACGTCAAACGGCACGCATGCGTACACGTTCCGAATGGTTTTTAGGTCCCAAAGAAGGTGATCTATTGTGTGTACCGCCCAATACCTGCAGTAATTGTTGTCTTTCAGCTGTTAATCTACAAACAGCAGGAAATTATTTAGGCGGTGGTAGTACTCGAGACATGAGACGTATGTTGGATATACAACAACAGCAAAACCAACAACAGCAGCAACAGCATCATATTAACGAAGCTGTTAATACTTCCTTATACCTCTACTACAAACAGCGACAACAACAGCAGCAACAATATCAGCAATTACCTTTGCAACGACAAAGTTTTCATTTGTCACCCGAACACATGGATACCGATGAAAGTTTCGCCTCCTTTACTAGCGGTAGCAATAGTATAAATCAACAAATGAATTTACATTCCATGCAACAGCAACTAACAGCAATCCAACAGCAACAACAGCATCATCAACAGCTGCAACCACAATTTAATACACGCCAGGCCCAGGAGGGACAAGGATTATTTTTGGATACAAACTATGGTAGATATGATTTTGATGATAAAGATATATTAATTACTACTACTACTACAACAACTGATAATCATTTTAATTATAATAACAATAATAACAACAAACCAGAAAACAACAATAACAATAAAGATGGTTACACTATAAGTAATCGTCAACATTTAATGAAAACTTCTACAACTTCTACTACAACCAATGATTTGACTTTACAAACACTTAACACAACACCATTGCCATTATCATCTACAGCCACCAACAACAACAACAACTCATCATCATCAAACGTGTCACTTTATCATTTGCATGCCAACAACAACAACAATAATTCCAACATACAATTGAAAAATAAAAAATCCTTGCGTAGTCTTAATATTTCACAATATTATTCTACCGAATCTTTATTAAATCCTCATAATATTGATTATGACGAGGAAGAGGATCATGATTTCGATCAAGAACTGTTAGAAGAGCCTGGTTCCTCTAAATTATCCTATCAAAGTTCTCGTCTACCTACACCACAACGTGAACGCTTGGATGAAAAGCATTTAATCCATAACACTCCTCAACAACTTAACTCCACTTTAACACCCCATAATGTTAATACTATTACCACTACCACCGCTAAAAGCACAAATTCCAACCTTAATCTTTCCTCTAAAGATTTATTAGATGGAGATATTACTCCCGATGTAGAAGATATAGATTATGTAGTTTCCACTCATTATCGCCATTCTACACCCATGTTACAACGTCGTCGTTTACGCCAACAACAGGCTTTAAGACGTCAACGTTTACCCTCCAATTCTTCCTCCCTTTATCAATCTTTCAATGCTAGTTTACAAGCACCCATGTCATCTGCCCACCTGGGTTCTCACAATCGCTTTAGCAATACCCCGTCTAATTCCACTAGTAATTATGAAAGCCAGTCAACTTTAACAAGTAGTACTGCTGCTGGTGCAGGTGGTGGTGGTGGCAGTGGTGTTGCTGGTAGTAGTAGCAGTGGTGGTGGCAATAGCAATTTTGTTAGTATTATATTTAATGTTTTAGATTTTCTATTTTAAATTTTGTGTTATGTTTCCGTTGTTTTGTATTGTAAAAAATTATAATTATTATTTGTAATTATTATTAACAAACAAAATTTGTTTATTAAAAAAAAAAAAAAGAATAATAGCAGAAAAAAACACCGTTTTAGGTGCTTGTAATATAAGTTTTATGTTTTATTGTTTTGTATTAAACAAAAAACTTTTTATATTATATTGTATTTTTATGTTAATTGTTGTGTAACGTGTCTGTTCAAGTGCTTTTTATGTATTTTTATAATTTAAGAATTATTTTATTTACAATTTTATTATTATTGTTTTTTTTTTATTAAAAATGTTAAACAAACCTTGGCAAGTGGCAATTTGTTTAGGTAACGGAATGACCGTTTACTTCCACTAAAGTTAAATGGCAAAGTATAAACTATTTAGTTTATAAATAATAACATTCAGTTGACTTACAAGATGTAGAATCAAAACATTATAGAATGGAATCATTTCATGGAACTGAAGGAACACTTTTTTTACAGTAATGCTGTCAAAAAAAGTTTTGTTTATGGAATGGGAGGACCATATCTTTAGTACTTAGCTTTTTCTATAAAATTAAATGGAAATTAGCTACTAGTTCTCTGATTACAATATGCAATAGGATTAAAAAGTAATCAACCAAACACTGCTGGGTTTGTTTAACGAAATGGAAGGACCATTTTGCTTTTATTTCTTGCCAGATTTATATTATTAATTAATTTCATTTAACAAATTTCCTTTTCTAATGGATCCTTATTTAAATTTAAAACTATTACTTTAAACTTGCCACATTTCTTATACAAATTATTTATATATATTTTTTTTTATCATAAAACTAAAATTATTATTATTTTAAAAATATTTTATTTAAAATATATAATTTTAATTTATTTTTATTATTACTTTATAATTTATACAACTATTTATATATTTATCATATTTATGTAATAAAAAAAATGTTGTAAAAACAATTTAAATTTGTGAAATTTTGTGTTTTTGTGTGTAATTTGTTTTATTAATAATTTTGTTAATGTTAAATGTTGTTTTACTCATTTTGTTTTGTTTTACCCAGTAAATTGTTGTGTTTTTTAGTTTTGTTGTTAAAAGCATTAACCCGTCTCCCCCTTAAAACAAACAACAGCATCCCAACTCATCTAAATAAACAAACAATTTCCCAGACTGTCATCATGAATCAGAGGACATTTTCTACACTTAAAAACTGTTTAAAATCCAAGAACCTTTTAACTTTTTAAACGTACAATATTTTTATGAAATAATTTTAACAGAAAAATCAAGAAAACATAAACCTAAATGTGTTTTTTTATTTATTTCTCTTTGTTTTTTTCTTTCTTTATGGCTTTACTTGTTACTTTTAACTCTCTTTTTAAACTTCTAAATGAAAATTTTGGTTCATTTGTGTTGTAACTCTATTACCGAATTCCAAAATTGCAAACAAATAAACAAAAACAAAACAACTTGTAAATAAAAACAAACAAAAAATGCCTGCCTGCACCTAAACCCAAACCAAACCAAAAAAAAAGTTGGCAACATCCGTTTAAGTAATAGTGCCGAGTCTGTACAATATCCAGCTAGAAGACCCTCAACACGACGCATACTCTTAGGTGCCAATATACCACGACAATATCCTTTACGTTCTTCCTTAAGGCGTCACAAGGAAAAACAAAAGGGTACCAACAATGGCGGCTCTACTAACAACAGCTCAAGACCCAAATCCACAGGAGCTACTGCACACAGCTCAACAACAAATGCTAGTGCTGCAATTGGAGGACTAGGAGGAGGTGGCAGTTTCTTAAGCAACTCTAATTCCGAAGGTCTTGCATCGACCAGCAATGAATGTTGTGCCATGGAATCGTCTATAACTTTTAAGCCTCCTAGACTATAAATTTCCTTAAATTAGTATTATTTGTATATAAATAGAATTTAATATTTTTTTAAATACTTTTTTTTTATAAAAAAAAAAACTAATTTAGTTTGAAGAAGAAAAATATATATAAAAGTCTGATTTTTAAGTTTTATTTAAAAAAAAAATTAAATACTTAATTAATAATGTTTAATCTAACATTTATTTTGTTTTATTATTCCGTTTGTTTATTTGTTTAAAAATATTACATAAATTGCCAAACATTTTTAAAAATAACCCATAAATTTGTGACAAAAGAAACTCACAGCTAAACAGGCAGCTAATTCTGAAAAGAAATCATCAAAACATTTATATTTTTACGTTATTTTAAGGAAACAAGATCACGTTATTTCGGTTCATATCATTATCATTAACTTTGGCTAAAATTGTTATTAAAAATCTTATAAATTTCTTTAATTTAAAAACAAATAGATCTTGGTATGAGAACGAAAGCATTTTAATATAAAAATGAAAATGGAAGGAGGTTCAATTCTTGTTTAACGCATTTTGTTTTTAGAATAGAAGGAAGAAGGACCATGTATTTTTTACTTTAAACAGTGTAATCGTTTCAAAAACAGATTGCAGTAAAAGACACACTTGACTACTTTTCTGATAATGTTACAAATTTGATTAATTTATTGTTATACAAAGCCAAGTACTAAAATACTGCAAGGATATGTTTTGGGAACCGAAAGACCAGTTCTTTTTTTAAAGTTTCTTGAAAAATATGTATGAAAGTAACAAAACACTGTAGAGTTTCGTATAAGGATTGCAAGGTCCATAACCTCTTTTAATTTTTTGTACCTACTCAAATAATTTAGTTAATAACTCATTCTAAATAATAGTTTTTCATTGAGATCTATTTGTTTTATAAATTTTAAAATATTTACTTTTTTAAATAACAATTATAAATGTTTAGTTAATGTTTTATGTAAAAAAATATTAAACATTTTCTTTTTTTAACTTATAATTTTGTTATTTTTTTCATTTTTTCCAACTTTAGATTTCTCTAAGCTAAAATATCTGTAAACAAAACAATCGTTAAATTATAAATAAAAATTCCAAAAAAATTATAAACCAAACAAGAAAACAAATTCTTAAAGGAACAACTATTCCAAGTAAAATAGCATTTATTTCAATTATTTATTTTTTATACACATAAAATTTATTAAAAAAAAAACAAAAACAACCTCGTTTAAACGTAATATTATTAAAACATATTATTACTCTTGAAAAAAAAAAACAAAAACAAAAAAGAAAACAAGTTAAATTTAAAAGTAATAAAAAGAAAACGATATTAAATGTTGTCTATGTCTAAAATAAATTTAAAGAAATTAAAAAAAGAAAAACAATTTTATAAATGTTGTTATTCCTTAAAACCAAATTTAATTTTTTTAATTTTTTATATGTCTTATAAAAAAAAATATAAATGGTTCCAAAATTTTACCTTCAAACATATTTATAACTTAAGTAAATTTAAAAACAAAAGAGAAAAAAACACAAAATTTAACACCAAATATTTATAAAACAAAATTAGTTTATAAATGAAAAAAATATTAAAAAATTAGTAAAACAGAAAAAAATACTACCTAATTTAGTTTTTAATTAAATTTTTTATGCTACCTATATTCCTTATTCTCTTAAAAACCCCCCGTTTAAAGGAAAAAAAAAACTTTAATTTATATAAAAAAAGGGTTGTTTATATTGTATTATATTATTTTGTTTTAATTAATATTAATTATTAATAAATATGCTAGTTTTTTATATAAACATAGTTTATTTTAGTTTTTTTGTAAACATATTTTTCTAAACATTCATCATTAAATTTATAGAAAAAAGAAAGTTTAAAACATCGTATAATATCTATAATATTTATATTTTATTATAATATTATATAAAAATGTAAAACAGCAAATTAATTTTAGTAAACATATAATTAAATTATTAAAAACTATATGACAGGAAAAGAAAACCAACTCTTTAAACATAAAAAATGAACAAAATATAAATGTTAGTAATGAAAAAAAAAAAACAAAAACAAAAATGAAATAAATTTATGAAAATTATTGCTGTTGGAATTGTTTACTGGGTTTTTTAAATAGTTAACTCTACAGGTTATAGTTTCTAAAACTGAATCTTGTTTCAGCACAAATCAACACTTCAGGCATAAAATGAGCTTCTTCGAAAAAATCTGCAGATAATCTCTAAATTTATGAAGTTGAGAGGAAGTTCTGTTATACTTTCAACTCTATATCACAGTTGTACTATTCCTAGAGGGTTGTAAAGATCACAAATGCACCAATAAATAATACTAGAGCGATTAATGGATAAGAAAAGTTAGAAAAATGTTTATAACAATTTACAAATGTTAAAGCAGCAAAAATGTTTAGTGGGACCCCAATATCTAGTAACCAAAGTAACTAGTTCCCATGATAATTGGATGTTCTCTCCGGAGCTACCAGTGTCATATTCGGGCATAACTTGTCAAACGAACGAACGATGTTTTAAGCGTAAGTTTTTCCCAGAATCCTTTTTATCGGCCACTGTTGAACTGTTACATTAATAACAACCATGGTGTCTAAAGGCGCCTTTTTCATATCATCCTATTTACCAAACAATTATGGAATTTCCATCTGATAGGTACAAAATCTTAGCTAAAGGCTTTTGCCTTATGTCATCCTACTGACAAAGGCAATCATGGAATTTCTAACGGACATGTAGAAAAACATATGTGCAGGATACATTGGAATGTTATTTGCATATGCCAAATGTTGGCTATATTTATAAGAAGGTCACTAAATCAAGCTTGGGAGCCCATAGCAGACATTTAATGGAAGGATCACCGTCTACACAGATAATGAGTAGTCTATGACCGTCTATGACAAGAAAAGTTAAACAAAACAAAATCAGTGATGCAAACTGTAAATGTCATTTACTTTGTTTACATTTGTATAATTAACAATTTTATTGAAGTTTTCTTTTAAATTTTTGTTAATTTGACATAAATCTCATAAATTTGTAATAAAATTAATAATTTTTTTAATAAATGTTGAGTTTAACGAAAGATTTTTATAATTTATTTATTAAAAATAAAAAACGCTAAAGAGATTTATTAATAGAACAAGTTGCAACACTGTTGTAAATAAAGAAAACAAAACAACAGGAAGTGGAAAAAACAACATTAAAGTAAAATTGTTTTGTAAAAACAAATTTTACTGTATTGATTTATAATAAAACTTTTATTAATGTTTTCTTTAGTTTTAACTCTCAAATAAAAAGGAACAGAAAAACTAATAAACAGAAGAAACTGCATTACCGTAATTTTGTTTTTGCTAAAAAGTTTGGCGAAACTTAATCAATGTTGTAAACTTTCAATAATATTTTATTGATACTTTTTTGTTTAATCAATTTTATTAAAATTTTCTGTCAGTTTTTTTATCTTTTAGCTAAATTTCACTTGAAGCATAATAAAATTGTTTATTTTAATAGAATTTATTTTAAAAATTTATTTTAAAGTAAGATTTTCAAAATTTATAAAATAAGAATTTAAAACGATTAAAACTTTCATTTACATGACAATTTGCAACACTTTTTTTTAACAAACAAAACAAAAAATTGCGTGAAATGCCAAAGAAAAAGCAGCAAATAGTGGGAATTTGCCAGCAGAGACATGCGCCGATTCGGCTTAAGCCGACTAAGCCTAGCCGCCGAACAAAATGTCAAAGCCGCCGCCGCCGAAAATTTTTCAGCTTAATACGGCTTGAAAATTTCGCCATATTTTGTACAATTTACAGAACACTTACGCTAAATTTATGGAATTTTACAATATAAAATTAATTTGTTTTCATTTAAGCAAGTTTTCTTTTATCTAATAATAAGCCGCTCTTTGAAATTTGGCCGGTGTAGAACTTTGCTCAACGTTCGATGTATATGCTTCGCCTCAGATATTTTCGTGTTTTACGCGCCTAATTCGAGTAGCTGCTTTGACTTCAAACCAGCTTCGTTGACGTCAACGGAGCTACACCTTTTTACATTGCTGGTATGTCATACCGATTGAGAAGAAAAGTTTATTTTTTTCAATACAATACTTTTAATTGTTGCAGATCTGCCACCACTGAATGCACCCAAGGCGAGTCAAGTGAAGAAAAAATAATCAACTGATTGAATAACACCACCTTATTTGAAATCGCCTTGATAATACCTTGGCAATACTACTTTACATTAACAGTTGATAGATTGTGTATTAAATAGAGAGAACAGCAACCCAGGGTTTCGGAGTTGTTTTCGGAGAGAATTGTGATCGCTCTCTCATTGAGAGAAGAAAAGTTTATTTCGCTGCTTTTACTTCAAACACAAAGTGTTTGTAGCACTTTGCTACGAAAAATACATTGCTGTTTGACAAACCAAAGTTTCCTAAGTCGTCAAACCAATGTATTTAAATGGGACATCAAACAAAATCTGTTTGAAGGAAAAATTCTGCAATTTTTTGCGCGCAGTTGCATGTTTTCGCGCCAATTTTTAGCAAATTCTTCTTTTATCATCTTGTGCATTTTACATACATTTTGAGTTTGTAACAAACGCAGAACGTGTTAAATTTGGAAGTTATTTTGAATTCTTTTAAAAAAATTATAAAATATATATAATTTGGAAATAACATTAATTGTTTATTGAAGAGTATAAAAGTATTTTTAGTATTTTACTAAAAATATTGATAGATTTGGCCTGTTGTTTGTGAGATCTAGAAGAATATTAAAAAATGTAAGTACATTACATGTTAAATAATTAATTATTTGTCTCTTATGTCGTGGAAGAAGTCCCACTCTCTTGGAGAGTGCCAATTGTATATGTCCTCCTAGGAGCACATGCCAATGTTGAAATAAATTGTCACCCCCTAGGGTGTGGTGGTCGGTCGGCTAGTGGTGACATGGTATATTATCACCTAGAGGCAATGGACGGACGCTGATTGCCGTATCCCTGGTGGGGTTATCCTTGGGATACATACTTATTATTATACCATTATTATTATAATAGAGCGCGATGTCTGTCTGGTGTGCCTTTCAGTGAAGCTCTTGTTGTCTCCAAACACTATGGTGGCCGAATATTTACAAGAAACAATTGTTAAGCCGTCTTTTATACAAATTTATAGCTTTGTAGAGAATGTCTTCACGGACCTAGAGGATATAACCTGGCTAGGTATGTAGATGTTGTTTGGGCAAAATATTGGTACTAACCATTGTGGGCTTTATGTCGATCCCTTATAGTTGTCACACTATACCAAATAAGCATTCTTGCTGGAATTAAAGTTTAAAACAAGTTTAATTCCAGTCAAACATTAAAATTTCAAGTGTTGAAATTCACTTTCATTACACTTAGGAACCGAAACCTACATTTATGAAAAATAAAATTTTGAGGATCGGTCCGCCAATATAACCCTCTTACAGAAAATCAGTTTATAGCTAATACATCATTCCAAAAGTTATCATTATGATAGATTTATGGTAGAATTAAAAAAAATACTTTAAATTATAGAGAACTTTGTCCATAATTGACCCAATTCCACATTTAAGTCTCTAATCCGAAAATCACGGTGACGTTCTTATTAATCTAATGATCAAAGTCCATACATATATATATGTATATGACCATTTCCGAAATTTGCTTTTTTACGACAAATGATTTGCCGAATATATGTAACTCTCCTTACTTATTTTAATCATAAAGAAATTACCGCTAAAATAGGAATAGTCCGCCTTTAGAGTTGCGGGTTTTCATACACTCTAATAATGTTTTCAAAGTGAAACTTTTGGAATATTTTTCAATCTCTTTGTGATCCCTTTAAATGATGTTGTTCTGGAAGAACTTTAACATCCATGTAAACATTTGGGGTAATGAATTGGGGGACTACCAATGAGGGGATTTTGAAGCTCCGTAAGGCCGCAAATTGTTTGTATGGACAAACGATGTTCGTCGTTCATTTGCAATCGTGCGGGACTTCTACAAAATAGTTGGACAATTACCATAATGTTCAAAAAAGAACACTGTGGTGTTAGTTGGCCATATGTTTGTTTAGCCGGAAGAATATTTTTAGTAGACGAGTAATTTTCTGTAAGATTTTGAGGCTTCGTAAGGCCGCATATTGTTTGTACGGACAAACGATGTTTCTTCGGTTATTTGCGAAATGCAATCGTGCGGGATTTTTACAAACTAATTAAACAATTACTATAACGTTGAAAAAAGAAAAAGGAATGTGATCTTAATTGACGATATGTTAGCCGGAAGAACGTTTTTGGTAGAAGTGGTGTTGCAAAGTAATTTCTTGTTGTATTTCGAGGCTCGTAAGGCAGCAAATTGTTTGTACGGACAAACGATGTTATTATAGTTTCAACACCTCTGTATAGATAGCAAAAGTTTACAGAAGAATAATGCCATAATGAAGAAGCAGCGCAATCAAAGGAGTATTCCCATATCATATGGAGTTTTAGGTAAGTTTAAAATTTTGTATATTATTATTTTGTTTAGTGGAAATTCTCAGAAGTTTGGTCATAAAAAAACTAAACTATATCTAACTTATGTAAAAAAAAAACTATTATTTAGTTTGGGGTCTTAAGGGATTTGAAGAATTAGTTTATTAAAATAAATATTTATTACATTATAAAAATAATGCATTGATTAGTGTTTACATAAAATATTATAGTATTTTAGTATGTTAGGCGTTTAAAAAATATACTTTTAAATTTTCTTAAACAAAATATAAATTAAAATTAGTAAATACTACAATAAAAGACGCACATCCTAACTAATTTGCAATATATAGTATTTCATTGTGGGTCCATAACTCTTCTCGCTTTTTTAACACTACGGCCCAGCGGAGCACACTTTAAAACATCAGTATGCAAAATGTAAATAATGTTGTAGCAAATATTCCCTAAAATTCTTAAAAAGCTAAATATGTTAATACTATATGTATAATTTATAACATTTAAATAGAGTTTTGAGTTAGCTGAGTTAAATTAGGAAAATATGAATCATGTTAGAGGGAAAGAGGGAGTGAATTGTTGAATCTGTGTAACCGTTTTGTTTGCTTGTTATGTGAGCAGTGAACACAATCTATAAAAGAGAAATTTTTGAATAAATAAATGTTATTTTTCCTATGGGTTAATATTTTACCTACAGTATTATTTCTGGTTTTGTGGTTTAAGTAGTATAGTCCTTTATTATTAGCTTGTTTTGTAAATTGGTCCTTAATTATACAGATTCTTATCTACCAATATGCCATTTTCTATAAGAAAACTTTCCACATCAGAGGCAAAGAAATCATCCGATAAATCATCGGTTACTCGAACAAAATTGCCTATAACTGCCTGAGCTTTATAAACCAATAAAGCAGGCAAACCCTTAGTGCGGAAATCTCTACTCATGCCTGCCACCGAACTGCAGATTTTGGCAAATTTTACTGTTGGATATTCACTAGCCAAGGTGTCCAGACATTTATTTAAAGTGCCGCAGGCGGTAACATTACGATCATAGATGTGTATTATAACGGTAGTATGTTTATTTTCCTTTTCCACGCAATTGAGAAACTCCTCATGAGAGGTGAGATTAAGTACTTTGCCAAATTGTTGGCTGTGGCCACATTGACGCAACATTTCGGCCATTCTTTGTTTTTGAAATTGTTGCAAAAAGTCTTCAGACATTAATTCAGCCAATTCTGCATCTAGTTCTTCTTGTTTCTTACGCTCCTCTTCCTCTTGGGCAGTGGCCGTGGTCATGGTTAGTTTTTTGGCCATTTCTATGCGCTGCTTTTCACTTTCTTCACGTAGTTCGGCTTGCAGCTTTTTAAATTTTTGCCAGTCTTCTACCACACCCTTGGGACCGGTATTAGTGGAACCCTGACTGCGATAGCCACCAGCAGGAGCTGGTGGACAAACATCTGGATCTACAAAACCTTGTGGTCCCTGTTTGCAAGCTGCTCCTTTGCTGGAGCCCTCCTCGCCATCTTCACAGTCTTCTGGTTCACCCTCATCACTACTGCAGTAGTATTCCAGCTTTTCTCCCATTAATTTATCTTCCAAAGTAGCCATAGTCGAAGTTTTTCAATAAAATTTGTAACTAATTTAATTAACAAGTTGTTTTTAGCACAATTAACCACAGAATGAAGATTTTTTTTTCTCTAATCAGTCAAAAAATGCAAGAAAATGTAAACACTAATAAAAAACAGAGTTGTTAAAATGTCAAAAGAAAATGTAAACAACAGTACAACCCTGTAGTTGTTAGTTAAATAAATGGTAATGTTATTGAGGTTTGTGTCTAGACTAAAAACAGAGAGTATTGCCATGTTTGATACATAAAAAAAAACGGTTAAATTTAAAATTTTCGTTATAAAGTTAACCTTTTTTTAAATTTTTATATTATGGGTATTACGTATAATTTCAAATACTTGTCTTAAATTATCGGGTATTTTAAAGGCTTTAATGCGCAGTTCTAGGCTATTAAAATCTGATTTTTCCAGCTAAAATATATAAAATGAAGAAAAATATTATACTGAAGATTTAGATCAAATTAAACTAGCTTTACCTCATCACATGAATCCGTACAGGAGGGATCATCTAAAGCCAAACGTTCGGCAAAGGCTACTAGACCACACCAACTGCGAAAATTTATTAACTGTTCAGATTCTTTTAATTCCTCATATTTGATGAGATCCAAAACTCTTTTGATATTCTCTTCAGTGCCATAAAATTCCAAAACATCTTCTAAAGCTTGATATAGAAACTTAATATTCATATAACGCTCTTGATAATCCGGCAAAGGAAAACTTATTTCAGTTTCTGCTGTTAAAGCTGGCGGCGGGTCTTGTTGCTCTAGCGAAGTTTTAAGATATTTTAGAAATATTCTTTTATAGATTTGTTTGCGTTGCCGTGAAACCCAAACATATTGGCTTAAGTAATGAAAGACAGACATTTCTAGGGAAGAAAAGGAACAATTATTATTTGCTAGCTTTGTTTTAATGGAAGACCTCTCTCTTACTTTCCACCGATTTCAAATCCATGGGCACATCAAATCTGGTGGCTGATTTGGAAAATTTGCGTGGCATTTTTTCGCAAATCATATTTAACTTTTCCAGTTCTTTTATCACCTCATTGTGGTCTTTAGGTTTCAGGGGTAAATATTTATAGGCCTCCCGATAGGCTCTATTAAGCTGTCAATAGAGAAATTGTTAATTAAAGGCAAAATTTGATGTTAAATGGTGATATAAAGGTCTCTGAACCACTTACATATCTATCAAATGTATTTTCTATAAGATCTACATCCAATTTAATTTTTAAAGCCTGAAAAGCTTCATCCGTCAAAAAGCTGCCTTTTAATAAAACCTCCTCACTGGCTCGTTTATCTTGGCTGGGCAAAAGATTAGCAGCATTTGGTATCAAACTAGGTCTAGTACTAGGATTTAAGGAGTCAGGACCCAAAGCTGCCACTTGTGTCTCAGGATCTTGACTCAAATGAAAAGTAGTGGCGGTAGCTAAACGAAAGAAGAGACTTCATAACACTGCCAAATATACATATATAAACCAGTTTTGAACCTACCCGCTACCGTCTTAATCTTCTTACGCCGTTTACCCCTTCTAATATCTTCATCTGCAAAGTCTTGATCATTTATACAAGTGTGTATCACCTTTTTCGCTTCCTCTGTTGCTGCTTCGCCACCCTCTTCTGGTATAGTGGCAGTGGCCAAAGACGACTTGGGCCTTTGCTGCTCTTCTGATTTCTGTTTTCTACCCTTTTTCTCCTCTATAGCCCCTGCACTACGTGTCTTTTGATCACTGTCTGCAAAACCGCCACCACTCGATAAATCCGAACAGGGTTTCCAGTATAAAGTCTCTTGTGAGTGTGATCTTCTTAAATCCAAAATAATTTTCTTACGTTTAATCATATCATTATTACCTAATTCGGGGGTAATACAACGGCGATTGTTTAGAAAAGAACCGGCACTGGTTCTTGTATGTATGCTGGTCACAGTGGGTGTGGGCGTTAAGGGTCTTGAGTCGGTATCGGTATAGCGGCGAAATAAATCTTCTGGTATGTTATCTGGAGGCTCATTGGGGGAGCTGGGCTTTTCTGTGAGAGCCGCTTGTATTTGCTGGATATTTTTACCCTCTACGGACTGTGTATATAACAGTTTTTGATTGATTTTTTGTAAATTTTTTTATGAAAACTTACCAATGATTGTTTACATTGACTGATGATTTGTTTAACTTCTGCCGGTGCCGGATGATTGCACAAAACCGAACAGCCCTTGGCAAAGGGATTATAAAGGCCCCCAAATGGCCTTAAGGATAAAGCCATGGGTAGAGCCTCAAAGTTTTGCGGCAAATTGTTATTATGGGATTTCTGTAATTTGCAAAATATTTGTTAGTTTTCGTTTATTTCGAAATTTGGAAAATGTTTTACTTTTGCCAAATATCTTCGGGTCTTTTTGGGTGTGGGCACCAAACCGGTTCTACTGGTGACACTCATGGTAATAGTGTTTCCTTAAGTGGCTGAAAATAATGTGAATACAAGGGGCTGCAAGTGAGACTAATGTATGGATTAAAAAGAAACAAACTTTGGTTGCTAGGGTCACAAAATGGGTCTCAAAGTTGTTTCTAAGATACTTCCTAGTTACAAAAAGTGTATACAAATCAGTGGTCGGCTTAAAGAGAACATAACGCATGTAGGTCTAGGATCTAAACAAATAATTTTTAGTTCTGTGCGAGAAAATTTTGATAGAAATAAACATAATGGAAGACTCCATATAAAATGCAAACTAAAAAACTGTTCAATTCAATTACAAGATTTTCTTTTCAAGATCATTGCGCTGTAGTGTGTGGTAGCTGGCTAGTGGTTGTTATAGACGCACAAAACAATTCCTTGCCTATCAGTCTGATTGTCTGTCTACAAATATGTAAATTTAAATGTAAATTCTTTTGTGCTACAAACAAAATTTATTTGCAATGATCTATTTGTTAGTTGAGTTTAGTTGACTTGAGTGAGATTAATTAAACAGGCAAATGATAATGCATCGTTGCTTGCCTTTTCTCCTATACAAGTTTTATACATGATGGCCAATAGCCAAAATTAACAGTATCGTTCTTAGGTTTATCTTTTTCTTCTGTCCGTCCGTCCTTTCATCCATTTGTCTGTAAAAGCAGCGAGAACAATGCAAATTTTCGTTTTTTGCTACAAATTGCATTGAGTGTTTAACTTGCAAAAGAGCAGGTTCTTTTTGAAAAAGAAATTAGAACCCTAAAATATTTTTAAATAAAAAATTGCATAAGTTTTAAATAAAAATTTGTAATAAATAAGTTTTTTTTTTAATAAAAAAATGCCTAATAAGAAAAATCCCAGAATACGCAATAGAGCGCGTAATAAAGCAAATCGTTTGAAATTATTGGAAAATCAAGAAAATCATGAAAACCTTAACAATGAAGAATCAGTTACTAACGTACAAGAACAAGAGCATTTAAATTTGCCAAAAAGTGAGTTGAATGAACCTTTAGTAGAAGACGAAGTGGAAGACGAAGAAGAAGATGACGATATGCCCGGTCTTATGGATGATAACAATATTCCTACTAATAAACCACCACAGGAGCAGGATCCACTTAAAACTTTGCAAAATCTAATGCAAAGTAAATTTATGCAAAAACAATCAAAGAATTCGGATACAAAGGACACAAAGAACAAAGTAACGGAAGTGAAAAATAACGATAAAGATACGAAAGAGAAATCGATGAAAAATGTCAATGTTAAAGCGGGAAAATCGAAAGAAAAATTAAGCGAAAATGAAAGTGCAAGTGAAAAGAATGCATTTATACAAAATCTACAAAAGAAAATGGAGCAGATGATGGCAAATGGTAAAGATTAAACAATTTTAGTTTTATTTTAAAGAAAACAAATAAAAAAGTGATTTTAGAAAGTAAATGGATGATAGAGGAGCATGTTGGATGGTTTTCTTAGATTGTTGAGATGTCTGAGTGATGATATCACTCTGATAACTGGTCATAGTTGGATTACAGAGAGATCCCCTTCAAGCCATCAGGAAGCAGATATAAATAAAATCAACCAAAAACTAAATTTTTTCCCTAAAAAATTTTTATTATAAGTGAAATTAAAATTTTTATTAAAAAAAATTGAAATTTCAGTAAAAAAATTTATTTTTTAGAGGAAAATTTAAAGTTTTGTAAAAAAATAAATTCTTAGTAAAAAATTTAAATTTCAGTGAAAAATCGAATTTTTAGTGAAAAATTTAATTTTGGGTAAAAAATTTAATTTTTGGAAACTATTTTTCGTTAATTTTTAGTTTCAATAGAATTTTAAAAATTCAGTTTTTAAATATAGCGAAAAAGTTTATTTTTTTTAAGAAAAATTTAATTTTTTAAAATAGTGAATTTCAGTCAAAAATTTAATTTATTTTCAAATCGAAATTGAAAATTTCTTTCCGGATTTAAAAATTTCTATTCGAAATTAACAATTTTTATACGAAATTAAAAACTTTTATTTGAAATTGAAAATCTCTATTTAAAATTTAAAATTTCTATTCCAAATCGAAAGTTTCTATTCGAAACTAAAAATTATTATTCAAAATTAAAAATATATGAAATGGAAAATTTCTATTTGAAATTAAAATTTTCTATTTGAAACAAAAAATATTATTCAAAATTTCTAAAAACTTCTATTTGAAATTGAAAATTTCTATTTAAAATTGAAAATTCCTATTCCAAATTGAAAATTTCTATTCGAAACTAAAAATTATTATTCAAAATTGAAAATGTACCAAATGGAAAATTTCTAATTGAAATTGATATTTTCTATTCGAAACTTAAAATTTCTAAAAATGTTAATTTTTTTTTTATTCGAAACTGAAATTTCTTTTGCGAAATTGAAAATTTCCATTCGAAATTAAAATTTTTATTTCGAAATTGAAAATTTTTATCCACAAATGTTATCCAAAACGAACATTTTTTATACAAAATTTAAAATTTTTATCCTAAATTGAAAAGTTATATCCAAAATTGAAAATTTATATACAAAATATAAACCAAAACTGATAATTTGTTTCCAAAATTAAAAATTTGTATACCAAAATTAACATTTTTATTCATTTATATCCAAAATTAAAAATTTCCTTTTGAAATTTTCTATTTCAGAATTAAAATTTTTTTTCCAAATTGCAAGTTTTTATTTAAAATTCAAAGTGTTTATCCAAAATTGGAGGTTTTTATCGGAAATTTAAAATTTTCATCCAAAATTTTACATTATTTTTATCCTAAATTGAACATAATATGTTCGAAAGTTTGAATTGCATTCAAAATTTAAATTCAAAATTGTATCCAAAACTGAAAATTTGTATATAAAATTAAAAATTTTTATACAAAATTGAAAATGTTTATTTAAAATTGAAAACTTTTTTCTATTTGAAATTTAAAATTTTTATTTCAGATTTGAAAATTTTTATCCGAAATTAAAAAATTTTATTTTAATTGAAATTTTTTTCCAAATTGAAAATTTTTATCCAATTAAGAAAATTTCCATTTCAAAATAAATTTTATTCAAAATTCAAAATTTTTGTACAAAATTAAAAAAATTTTATTCAAAATTAAAAATTTCTATTCAAAATTGATTATTTTTATCCAAAAATTTAAAAATTATATTCAAAATTGAAAATGTTTATTCAAAATTAAAAATTTCTGAAAAATCAATGTTAAAATTTAATTTAAATATAAAAACAAAAAATTTAAAATGTTTATCAGAATTAAAAGTTTTTATCCAAAATTTTAAATTTGTATTCAAAATTGAAAATCTTTATTAAAAATTAAAAATTGTTTTTTAAAATTTCTATTCGAAATTGAAAATCCGAAATTGAAATGAAAACTAAAATTTAAAAATATTATCCAAATAAAAATTTTTTTTTTTGAAAATTGTATCCAATTTACGAATTTCCGAATTGAAAATTTTTATCCGAAATTGAAATTTTTATCCAGTGTGGAAAATTTATGTTTCAAAATTGAAAATGTTTTTCCAAAATTTAAATATTTTATCCAAACTCTAGTTTTATTCGAAATTAAAAAATTCTGAAAAATCGATTTGAGTTTTTTGTTCATCAAATTTAGCACTAAATTTAATTTAAGTTTCATAATATGTTCGAAAGTTTAAATTTAAATTAGAAATTACAGTTTAGTTTATTTTTAAAGCTTTTAAATGTGTGATTTAAAAAATATTTGTGACTTAAGTTTTTTAATGCATTTCAGGCGATGAAAACCTACCCAATACCTTAATGGAGAATCTTAAAAAAATGTTTGATCAGGGACCCGTAACCGACATCGAATCCAGTGATGATGAGGAAGAATATATTGAATACATCTATAAACCAAGAAAATACTTTCTGGTGGCTTTGTGTAATGTAAGAGTTTAATCATAAAAAACTAACAAAAATTAATAATTTATTTCCAAAAAAAAATCCTTTTCTCACCCTCAAGTTATGCAAAACCGATTTGTGTAAACTTTCTCAACTAATAGAATGTTCAAAATGCCATATGACATTTTACTGCAGCATGGAACACATGCAAAATGATGCAGAACATCAGCAATTATGTTATGCCCTGCAACAAGTGGCTGCTGAAACGTGTGGTGAGTATAAATGAATATGTTCGACTATAAATTTTCGTCTCTTTAAACGGAAATTCATTAAATTTATTATTTTTTTTTTTTTTTTTTGAAAGTAACGATATGATTAATATCATTATCGACTGACTGCTCTGTTGGTGGCAACTAGAAATTATTTACAACATAGTTGACAAGCAATTGTACGAAGCATTAAAATCGATTTTCTTTCTTTCTTGGCACTCAGTCAAATGATATGTTCATTCATTAAAACAAATGTAGTCTGTTGCAGCAGAAGGAAAATATGTTGCAGTTTTTTTTTTAATATATATTTTTTTTTGGTTTTTTATTAGATGGTCACATTTTTAAAAACTGCTCAACCATGCCGGCCGATCATTTTCGTTCTTATCGCATTATAACCATACGTAAAGTTGAATCTATCTTGGAGCGTCACTTAAATGCCACTGAACAGGAGGTGATTCTATTTCCTCGTCTTTGTAATAATGTAAAATGTCGTGAATATCAATATGATAAGTTACATGATTGTTCGGAATGTGGTATGATTGCTTATTGTCTGGAACATCCTGAACATATGCATCCAGAGGATCATGCCAAATGGTGTAAATCTTATCAATTGTTTAAGGAATTGGTGCAATTTCAGGAGAAATTTGGACGTTTAGATCCTACATTGCCCACAAAGATTTTGAAAGAATTGCCCATGAATTGTTTGAATACAAAGGAGATTTTCAATAAACTGGGTTGTGGTTAGTATGGGAAGATGCCTTCAAATTGAATTTTTTTTATTAGATATCCATTTCTTCTTTTATTTTAGATCTTCCTGAGAACAGTGAATACGCCAGTTTATCCCAAATTTCTAC